CGTTCTGGCAGAGTTGTAATTATTTCTTTCTCCTCATTAGTGAGAGAATTAGATTTCTGCTAATTGCATCAAGAATTGCCTGAAGCCAAATCTGCCAGTGTGTTCAAACAGCCCACACACAACAAGCTGGTGACAATACACGTGTCACAAGAAGGATGCTTGCTTCCATTTGCACACCAACAGACACCAAGAAGGCTGCGAGTGGAGGACGCAGCCAAGAGAGTGGGACCTGGAAGCATATTCAACGGTGGCTGCAATCCAACCAGAGACAGTTTTTTTCCTCTTCCGTCAGTTCAGAGAAGCGGAAAATACATTCGCATTCAAACCATGTGAATGTGGAAGCTTTGGCTCAGTGTTAAAATAGAAAGGCAGAGAGGGAAATAAAGTTAGGATGCTCCCAGATAAACTTTTATCTTCTCACAGAAGCGAGAAGCAGCTCATGATATTTCCTATCTGTGACGTCTTTGCTCTGATGGAAGTTTGAAAGTTTATCCTACACAGTTTCTAAATCTGTTTTAGGATTATTGCTCCATCACTCCAAGCAATCTAGCATTTTCTTAGCGATATAGCTGTGAAGTTTCAGAACGTATATCACCACAACAAGCAGGATGGAAAATGTTTTAGGCACTCGCTGTGAGTCAAGCTGCAAACACTGAGCCCCAGAGATAGGAACAGATACAGTGGCTTGCAAAAGTATTCGTCCCCCTTGAACTTTTCCACATTTTGTCACATTACAGCCACAAACATGAATCCATTTTATTGGAATTCCACATGAAAGACCAACACAAAGTGGTGCACACGTGAGAAGTGGAATGAAAATCAGACATGATTCCAAACATTTTTTACAAATAAATAACTGCAAAGTGGGGTGTGTGTAATATCCACTGTAGCTGGATATTTGATAAAAAGAACAACAAAAGGACAATTAGTTCTAATTACTAATATATAAACCTGTACATCTAATTCTAATTATCAAACCTAAAACAATCCATTTAATATTTTATTAATACTCTAATAATGTATTTCTTGCATTAATGTATTGTTAGAGTTTATTGGACTTTAGAGAACTTTGAGAAAATAAGCAAAAAACGAATCAAGCTCTCTACAATTGTCAGGGACGAAACCTCGTAGCCCTCATAGATCTCCTGGCGGTGTAGGCCTGAAGATGGGGTCCTCAGGCGCCCACATGGCCTCGGTCTGAAGATGTGATTCATCCCCCATGAAGTCGCCCACTGACGAAGAGTTTCAGCCTTGCGTGGGTTCAACTCTCTGAAGACAGTCCAATGGTGTCAGAGTGTCAAAACTGTCTCCCGCTATCTGGCTATCTGATTGGTAAGGGTCTGTGGTAGGGCCTCAGGTAGGATCCCCAGCTCGGGGCTCAAACAGTGAGCCATGGTCTTGGGCATTAGCTAAAAGTCAGGCAGGCAAGAGCTTCCGGTCTCTCACCAATCACTGACTTCAGAAGAAGATGAAGAGGAGGAGGGTTCATTACCCCCTGAACAGCTGTTTCACAGGGATCAGATTAAAGTCCTCCCCAGTCTCATAAATCGTGGGCCATAACCTCCTTTTTGACACAGAGTGTGTCATATGTTTTGCCTTTAATAGCTTTGTTGTATGAAATGTTCTTCTTCATCGCTGGATTTCAACAGTATTATGCTGCATATATTATTTCCAGTCATTCTATCTGTGATGGCAGTCACATCTGTGTCCACTACATTTCCAGTGATGGAGCTGCTCTGTAGTGCAGAAGGAGATTGCTACAGGATTTCCTCTCAGCTAGCACCTGCTAGCAGGATTAGACAAACCCACATTTAGAGCATTTGGTGACTCTGAATGACTTTCCTGTTGGAGATGTTCCCTATAAAACTCTTTTTGTTTTTGTTTGGGTTTTTTTTTTTTTTTTTGGGGGGGGGGGGGGGGGTGTATAAAAGACAAGACAACAACAACAACAATAAAACTCTGGCTGAAATTATTTCAGCGCAATCAATCCAACATTTGTGTAATCTTTAAACGAGCATCATCTTTTCATTCCTTCAGACTGATCGGTACTAGGAGCAGCACTTTTCAGATTGTGTTCACCTCAGTTGTGTGTGAGGGTACACAACTCGGCTGAGAGCATCCCCACGCTGTAAGTCTAATTGAGCCTCACTGAGAACTGTGAGCATGTGTGTGGATCCCCACAGAGGTGGGCCTGGTTTTCTTTGATAGCACATAGTGCAGATTACTGAAAGACACTGATGAATACAGCACACACACACAGCTGAGAGGTTTTCTATATGTTTACACAGCCAGTGTTCCTCTCAGGCATCCCAAAGCAGCTCAAATGATTTTCCCCTTTATGAATTCCTATATTTGGCTGCTCGGGCTTCACACTAGGGCTTATTTTTTATTATGTTTTGTTTGCCATAAAACACTCTGATCAGACTCTTTTAGGACCGTCTGCTCCAGAGTCTCGGACTCGTTTTACTGCACAGGTCATTTTTAATATGTCAGTTTATTTGGGTTACTGCAAGTGTGCCGAGAATCACAAATACTTTCCGAATGATTTCTGCGATTTTTGCCTCGTGTTGTGTCGTGTTTTTGTGTTGAATAATTGCATTAAACCCTTCATCAGTGCACTCACACTGTCACCAAAAAGAGTGAATTTAGAATTGACTGAAATTAACTACAGAGCATATTTATG